GAATGGATGAATGAATGAATGAATGAATGAATGAATGAAGGCTTCCCACCTTCCTTCCCCACAGCTTTAAAAACGTCATTCAGCCATTTGCTCACCAATTTAAAATGATCCACACCATAAAAATATAAATTATGTGTGCTTCATCATGTGCCCTCTTCCTTGCTACCTGGCTCTTTGTGGCATTCTCCCGGCCCAAGACATGTAAGTAATAAATCTTTGAACCCATTTTCCTTTGTGGTAGTGTACTGAATTTGCACCTTCTACCTGAAAAACAGGAGGCTAGCCCAAGCTGGGTTTTCCCCAGCACCAGAGCTAGGGTCAGTCAGGCAGCATAAAATGGAACAGGGTAGATGAGAACCACAAAGGTGTCTGCTAGTTTTCCTGAGTGAGGGATTCCCTGATGATGGGTCAGAGAGCTGTATCCTTCAGATGTAGGAAGAACCTGGTAGGAACTCTGCAGACACCTCCTTCCTGATCCCCTGAGTTTTCCTTGGTACAGGGCAGCTGGTTACAGCGGTCCAGCACTGCTGACTTAGGGAGGGGCTGCCATAGTGAGGAAGACTGCTCTACGTGGCAGGAATGAAGTGGAAACCATACTTGTTTGCTCTAAACCACTGAGTGTTGGAGGTCAGAATTCTGGTGCAACAACATTTGGGGGCATCCTTTTATTCTAAGGAATTATAGGGAAGGGGAAATTTCAGTAGAGATTTGGACTTGTGCTAACCCAGTGTCAGTGTGCTACAGAAGCTTCTATAAAGCCAGAAGAAGAGAGTCAGGATGTGAATCCCAGCTCTGGCAGAGATCTTCTTTTTCATTGTGGGAAACAACCCTGACCTCACCCGCTTGTTGTCTCTGGTTCTCAATATTAGGTATGCGCATGTATTGGCCTCTTTTGTGTGCACTGACTGGGTAAGCGCTAAGATTCTAGTTGGGAATTGCATATGACATAAAAGGACAAGGCTATTAACATTTTTCATCTCAGGACATTCACGCCAACCTTGTTCAGGGGACGGAGGTTTCCCATGTGTTCAACTTTAACATACAAGTAATTATACTAAACAACGCTACACTATTCTTACCACATTAATAACTGTACCACACTAAAATTTGGGACTAAATAAATGAAACCAATTTGCATTCAGTCTTGTTTTGCCATCTCTGCACATATTTCCTTCAGAGCACTGCTGGAAAGCAGTATTTACACCCAGTTATTAACCATAGCTCCTAATCTATGAAGAAAACAGAATCTGGAACAACAGGGAGCAATGAGCAAGGCTGAACATGTCACAGAGAAGATCAAAGAGGAAGGAGGATTCAAGCAAGAGAAATGACACTGTGCTACTATTCTCAAAATACCCGACACCCAAAGTTAAAGAAGGAAAGGTTTATTTAGCTTAGTTTGTAGAGGTTCCAGTCCATAATCAGCTGGCTCCAAAGCAAGGTGGTTTGGCAGAGGGGCTTTGCAGAGGAGAACAGCTCATGGCAGAAAAACAACAAGGGAACTTAACAGTGTCCTTCTGCCCTTTTTATTCAAACTACTTAGGGAGGGCTGCACTCATGCCCTTAATCCAAGAGATCTTGAGTTTAGCATTGCATCATGAATCAGTTCCAGCTTCACACACTCCAGACCGAGCTACCTCTGCAAAAGGCTATGAGCACATGAGGCTTAGGGGGTATATTAAGATACAAATCATAACAGACACTATCCTATATAACATAGTATTTCTTCCATAGAGGATGGGCCTTTTAAGAAGGTTTTTCTGTTGCCTGCAACCAAAAGCACTGCCAAGAGATATCTCATCTTTGTCTTCCTGGGCTTTATTTCACTAGGTAATTCTCCTTTCACTGGAGATAACTGATTTTTTATTACGGAAGGTGACATTTCCTTATGGGACTTCTTACCAATGTTTGTGCTATCTTTAACAGATTATAGGGAAATCCCTGTGCCATTAACCCAAGGGTAAAATACGAGTTGAAGAGTTCCAATCTCATCAAAACTACTGAAAGAGAGGCACAGAAGATCCATCTAAAGAAGGGAACTTCTTGGGACTAGGGGAACAGCATTGAAGTATCATATGGAAACTGAAACTGGGGAAAGGCCTGGGATTGGAGGAGCTCTGCAGGGAAGAACAGGTGACTGTGGATACCCTAGACCCTTTTTCTTAATGTGATTCATATACTTTCTATGTCTCTTTTCTTTTCTTTGCTCTTCTGTCTCATTACTAAGAAGGAATCTCCTTCTGTTTTAGGTAGTTCAAATTCATGGGAAACAGGATAAGAATACCCTCTTCAGGCCACATCACACAAGCTCAAGGTTTCTGACAATCTTGAGGACAAGCACTCATAGACCAGATGCCCAACAATAGTCTGTTTAACTACAGGACGGATAGAGTCCTGTCCTGTAGAATAAAGCTCTTTACGGCAACTGAAAGAGGAAATGATTAAATAAACATGAAACTAAGTCTGGGTGATCCAGGCAGTGGCAGACATCTTCATCATACCTACCTCTTCTTCTCTGTTAGTAACATTTTATAAGGACCTCTTTCTTCTTGATATCTCTGACACTCAATATGTAAAAGGAAAAGTTATTTTTGCTTCCTGTATTTCTTTTGCAAGACTGGGTTCATCCGGAACTTTAGTACCCTAACAGTTACTTTTGGTTCCTTCTTCCCATCTATATGTATCAGCCTTTTGAAATCTGAACTGAATGGAGAACACCAACAGCAAACACGTTTTTGTTAGGACTTCCCTAATATTATGGCATTATGATTTGGGGGGCTTACAAACTTTTATCTTCACAAGCCCGTTCCTCTATCAAAATTTTTTTAAAATTGTCAGGGATTTAGCTCAGTGGGGTTATACCTGCCTTGCAAGCACAAGGTCCTGAGTTCAATCCCTGGTACCAGAAAATATATATTTTTTAAATTAAGAAGCCAAAATTGTATTGGTATAGAAAGCAAATATAATAGAGATATAGATGCATACAGGCTGGATTTACTACTACTGCATATCCATTCATTCAGATTGTAAAAGAAGTGAAATTAAGACATTTTCATAAAGTGTTTTTGTTTTGTATTTTTGTTTTTTTGAGATAAGAGTCTCACTGTATAGTTCAGGCTTGTCCTGAACTTGCAGTGATCCTCCTGCCTTAGTGTCCCAAATGCTGGGACTACAGGCGTGGGCCACAATGCCCAGCTTTCATAAATTCTTAAGTGTATCAAGGGCCCTGGCTATGGTATTTACTCTGCCTAATGGATAAGTTGGCCCTGCTTGTTTTGCATTTTCCTCTGGCCCATGTGTTTTACAATCCAAAGTTTCAGAGCTCCCTTTCTTAGTTTTGGCTTTGAAAAGGCTCTTGTGCCATAGACATATGACAATCATTTATCTGAATGTTCTGAAATGTAAATTTTTAAAGGTAAAAGTAATGATTTTGTACCTAGGAAATTCTAATGACTTTTAGATACCTCATTTCCATTTAAATGAAATAGGGATGTAAAACACATTTCAAAACATAAATCATTTCGTAAAGTTTGAGGATCAATATATATTTGAGTTGAAAATTGAAATTGAAAATTGAACTGTGCTAATTCAGTTTTGTTTTGTTTCGTTTTGTACCAGGAATCAAACTCGGAGTAATTCAGTTTTATATGGAGGCATTTTGGGCAAAAGGCTAATAACAGAAAACAGCCCTTTTTTTTTTTTTTTTTTAAGTACCAGGGATCGAACTCAGGTCCTTGAGCTTGCAAGACAGGCAGGAGAACCACTGAGCTAAATCCCTGGCCCAGACAGCCTTTTTTTAAAAAGAGGATTGAACTCAAGGTCTCCACACAGAGCTATATCCCTAGTCCTTTTTTAATTTTGTGATAGTCCTGCTAAATTGCCCAGGCTGGTTTTGAATTTCAGATCTTCCTGCCTCAGCCTCCCAGAGTGCTGGGATATAGGCATGCACCACCACACTCAGCTAAATGGTCCTTATTGATACATCACTGGCTTTTGTTCTTAAATGTAACGTATCTGTTAAGTTGGTGCCATTTTCAGGACTAAATGAGGCCCTTCTCTTTGTGCAATTCATATGTGTACTCTGTGTGCCTCTTCAGAGAGGCAGGGAGTGCCTGCACTACAATATAAAGGGTGAACACTAGGCTGTCTTGACAGACTGACAGGAGAAAGAAGCAAAGATCCTTTCTTTCCTCTCTGTCATTAATCTAAACTGATGTTAGCTACACGGATCCAGCTACTGAAGAAGACCTGTCACACAGGACTTGGGAGAAAAGCATACTAGCCACATCATATTTCCCCTTATTAATCTTCCCACTAAAGACAGAAGAACAGGAAATAACTCACTACCAACTTAAATGCATAACGTCAGGAAATCCTAAGACTAGAAGGAACTGAAATGCAATTCTTTCCCTTTATCAGATTATGTAGTTGTGAGACTTAAATGAAATGTATGAACCACTGTTCTTTATAGAACACTTTTAAAAATACTCAAATATCTCTAAAGACATTATTCTGGAAATATATTATCTCTGTGGTATAGGCGAAGGACATGTAGAGCCACTGACCATAATTTAGAAGTGGATAAACTCTTCCTAGAAAAGACTGAATAGTAAAGAAGAGTTTAGGCTTTCCAAGCTTCATAGATTCTCTGATGGATTTTTTTTTTCTTTCAAGTACCTTTAAAAATATAAAATCCATGAGCTGGGATTTAGGTCAGTGGCACTGCGTCTGCCTCTCAAGCCCAAGATCCTGAGTTTGATCCCCAATACTAAAAAAGAAAAAAAAAATAGAAAAACCTTTCTTTTTTGATGGGCCATACAGAAGCAAGGGGGTCAGATATGTGGGTCATGATTTGCTGATCACCAAACAAGACAGTAAAATTGAAGTGGTAAGACAGAATCAATTTATAAATCAATGAGGGGAGAAAAGAGGAGTAAAATTTAAATCTCCACATCTCATTCAATATATCATTCTTTACCTATGGAAAATCTCTACTGTACCTGAAATTCATCAAAACATAAGAGACGTGCTTCTTGGCTGATTTCTTCAGCTATGGGAGCTATTGGGTCATATGATTTGGTCATGAATCCTGGTTTTCTTTTTGGCAAACTCTGCTTAAGGCGATGTATTCCTTAGATGGATGAAATTAAAAACAAGCATTAATGTACATGGTAAACAATTATAGCGTATTTTTAAATCCTTACATGAAACTTTAGTGAATACATAAAAATTAGGTTTAAATGTGATTACAATTAAATTTGATTACTGAAATCAGTTGCATTTTTTTCTATCTTGAAGTAAATTGTTCAACTAGTATAGTTGTAAGGAAACTTCAAGATCATTCCCTTTCACTCTGGAATCACTTCAGAGATGATAAAGTGATTACCAATCAACAGCGTAATCCTAATCCTGATGATTTCAGTGATGCAAAAGGCTGTGGTCCTGCCCAAAAAGTGCGTGTTACATTCAGCATATCTAATTAAATGTCCCCTCTTCTCCAGTCCCATACACCAAAGCCAATCCCATTTCATTCATTTTATGTGCACTAATTGCCGAAATTGCCAGGAGAAAAAAACACAGTGTTTCTGGTCTGGGAGGTGACAGTACAGCTTATAGACAAACCACACAAAAATGAAATAAAATAAGAACACCACACAAAGTAATAAAGTGTATATATATGCAAATATAAACTGAATGCCTACATGCTAAAGTTATGTGGCATAAAGAACCTATCAAGAATAATATCTCAGCCAGGTGTAGTGGTTCATGTCTGTAATCCCAGCACTCAGGAGGCTGAGGCAGGAGGAATGCTGTGAGTCTGAGGCCAGCCTGGACTACATAACAAGATCCTATCTCCATTAAAATAAATAAATAAAAAGAATAACACCTTGAAACAGAGTGTTTTTAAGATTTTTAAAAAATAACCATTAGTAGAAATAATGCCTGATATTCATGTAATAACTTCTGTTTTCTGATTGGGAAATAATGAATTGGCCTTAAGAACCAACTCTGAATGTACCACTGTTTCAAAACAGCACGAAACAAATGAAACCAAACAAAATCTTACTTCAAGCAAAAATCTAATTTTTTTTAGTTTTTCAGTTTTGTTGTTGCCTTTTTTTCTTGTCTTGTTTTGTTTTGTTTTGTTGATTTTTTGAGACAGGGTCTCACTATGTAGTTGAGACTGACCTAGAACTCACTATGTAACAGAGGCTAATCTAGAACTCACAGCGATCCTCCTGCCTCAGCCTCCCAAGTGCTGGGATTACAGACATGTGCCACCACGTCCAGCTTTTGTTTTGTTTTTTGAAGACAGGATTTCACTAGGTAGTTCAGGGTAGCCTTGAACTGATTATATAGTCCAGGCTTGCCTCCAACTCAGTAATCCTCCTGTGTCAGCTTCCCAAGTGCTAAGACTACAGACAGCACCACCACACCTGGCAAAAAATATATTTTTTTTTATTATAAATATCTATAATTTTTAAAAAGAGTATATGTTTATTCACTGCAAAAAACTGTTTTGTACAGTTTACCCATAGAAGAATAACTTCTTTCAGGTCATTTTTAACTTACTTTGGTGCACATCGAGCATGAAACCGTGAAAATGGACCCGTTTTTTCCTCTTCATTTCCACATAAGTATAAAATATGTCCATCACCATTGTTTTCCCTGTACCTTAAAGATAAAAATAAAAAATTAAGAATGCTATTAGATAGTATTTACCGACTACTCTAATGACTGTCATTAGTTTTTAGATAATGAAACACACTTCTACTGGAAAGCTGAAGCCTGGCTTACTTTTAGAAGGGGCTGTTCACTCTGTATATTGTACTGGCTAGCCAGCCACTATTTTGCTAGACCCATAACTCCCATAGCTGAAACCGAAACTACTTCAGAGGCTGAGGCAGGAGGATCACAAGTTCAAGGCTACCCTGGGAAACTGAGTGAGACCCTGTCTCAATAAAATGAATAAATAAAATAAAAAGACTAGGGATGTAGCCCAACATACCCTGGGTTCAATTCCCAGTAATGAAAAAAAACAAAGTAATTTTTTAAAATGTTGATATTACCCTCTATTGTGACAATCCTGTTTTTAGGAAATATGTACATTTAGTTAACATTACAGTAGCTATTTTCCCCAGACATAACATGTACTTCTATGTTTATAAACTGGCAAGATTTAGAGAATATTCTTCAGTCTTCTCTTGTAAAAAAAAAACTAGTATAAATAAAATAATTAATGAATTAGTCAATTAATTATTGGGTCATTCTATGAATAAGGAACTGTTTTAAACACTGTAGAAAAATTCAAAAATGACAAATAAGAAAATTAAGACGAGAAAAATAAAAATTACTATCTAACATAAATATTGAAAATAAATAATAGAGGTAGATGAGAGCTGGAGAATGGTCTATAACACATTTTTTAAAAGATGAGAATATAAGTTTTCAAAATGAGGCCCTCTTAAATTCTGATAGTCAATCTTATAATAAATGATCTAGTTTCCAACACTTTGAAACTTTTAATCACTACAATTACATCAGTAATTGAACACCAACAGCCTGAGCACAGTGCCCACCGGCTCTCACCCGCCCGGCATCCGCAGCAGGCCAGGCCCATCTCCCATCCTGCTCCTTTCTCCACTCTCCCACCCACTGTGCCTCAGCTCTCCTGTCAGGAGCTGCAGTTACTGAGTTTTAAAGATGTGAGTCTCATCCTTTGGGCTTTCCTCTACCCGGAAAGATGACCTGGAGCACCAGCATGTGAGCGCAGAACATTTTCATGGGGCCGAAGCTGTGATGCAGGGTGGGAATTTACCTTGCATGTTCACGGCCAAAATAGAACAGCAAATGGCCAGGGATTTAGCTCAGCGGTTCGGTGGCCTGCCTTGCAAGCGCAAGGACCCAAGTTGAATCCCCGGTACCAAAAAAAAGCAAAAAGGTTTTTCTGTATGTAAGACAAGTCTCCACAAATGTGAAAGGATCTAAACTATACAGAATACATTCACCAGCCATAATAAATTAGGAATCAAAAAGATATCTAAAAAATTACCCCATACTTGGAAATTAAGCAAAATGCATTTAAATAACCCTGGGGCAACTACAAAAATTATTTAAATTTAGAAAATATGCTGGGTATGGTGGCACACGCCTGTAATCCCAGCACTTGGGAGGCTGAGGCAGGAGGACCACTGTTAAGTTTGAGACCAGCCTGGGCTACACAGTGAGTTTCAGGTCAGTTTCAACTACATAGTGAGACCCTGTCTCAAAAAAACCAAAAAACAAAACAAAACAAAAAAAAGCACAGTGAGGACTGTGAGGCAGTGCCATGGGGCAGCGCTTGGTTGCTGACATATGACCCTAGTGGGGCTCTCACCTCAGCTGCGCAAAATAATCCCCCCATAAGCAAACCCCACCATGAGTCCATTGTTGTTCACTTCAGACAGATTTTTAAATCCCTCTTTCTAAAGTGTAAATATCAACTAGTTTCTCTGGTGTGAAAACTAAAAGTGTAAATAATTGTATATTTATAAGTGTAAATACATTGTATAATTAATAATGTGAAATAGGAAGGAAAGGGCTAAAGGAATAGGGGAAGTGGAAAGGGTAAGAGAAAGGAAAGAAGGGAAAAGAAAAAAATGGAAACAAAGTGTTTGTAATTAGGGAAGGGTGGAGGAGGTGAAGAAGGGAAGGGGTAAGGGGAAAAAATAAGATCCAAGATCTGTCATGTAAAGGTACAAGATCCCAATGATGAATGTAACTGTACTGTATATCTAAAATGTGCCAATAAACTTAATGAAAACAATTGCAAAAAAGAGAAAATATGTTAAACTGAATGAAAATGAAAATGCAACATTTCAAATTTTGATTAATGCCACTAAAGCAGCACTTAGACATAAATTTGTACTTTTAAATGCTAATATTAAAAAACAAACTTTTAAATTGCATAAGTTTCTACTTTAATAAGATAGAAAAGGGAGCAAGTAAAACCAAATGTATGAAAAATAAAATAATAAAAAGCAGGAGTAATAGAACAGAAATGAAATAATAGAAAAATTAGTAAAACCAGAAGCTGATTCTTTGGAAAAAAATAACAATTGATTAAAAACTCCAACTGATTTAATTGAGAAAAATGTGATGAAATACAAATTGTCAGCATTAGGTATGAAAGAGAAGTATCACTACAGCTCCCAGGGAGAGTAAAAGGAGAATAACCAAAAAGTAATAAATTATCAACAACTTTCTGTTGATAAATTCCTTGAAAATCATAAATGATCAAAACTAACATAAAAAGAAATAAAGAAATCTAAATAAATATAATAACCTAAAACAAATTTAAATAACTATATTTATTAAAGAAATTAAATTTATGAGTAATGACTTTCCCATTAAAAACATTTCAGGTTCAAATGGCTTCACTACTAAAATCTAATCAAATATATTAGGTCTATACAGTGTTAATCTTATACAAACTCCTGAGCACACAGAGGAAGAAGAAATACTTCCCAATTCATTTCACAAGACCAGCAATAAACAAAAAATAATATATCATTATCAAATGAGAGGTTTATATCAGAAATATAATAATGATCTATTAAAAATCAATAAATGTGGGCAAAGTTTAATCCCTGATACAAAAAAAATACATATACATACATACATATATGTGTGTGTGTGTGTGTGTGTGTGTGTGTATGTGTGTATCAATGTAATTTATCATATTAAGAAAATAAAGAAGCCAAGCATGGTGCCATAGTCCTATAATCCCAGCATTCTGGGAGGCTGAGGCAGGAGGATCACAAGTTTAAACTCAGCCCAGGGGCGGGGGAGGAGATAATAAATAAATAAATAAATAAAAATTTAAAAAAATAAACAGCCCGGGACATTGTTTCACTTAGTGAGATCCTGTCTCAAAATTTAAAAAGAAAAATAATGAAAGGGCTGGGAGGGCTGGGGATTTAGCTCAGTGGTTCCGGCGCCTGCCTGGCAAGCACAAGGGCCCGAGTTCGATCCCCAGTACCAAAAAAAAAAAAAAAAAAAAAAAATTCATAAGGCATGTAAGTGCTGAGATTTAGGGGCTGGGGATTTAGCTCAGCAGTTCTGCTGTCTGCCTTGCAAGCACAAGGACTGGAGTTCGATCTCCAATACCAAAGGGGGCTAAAAAAAAAGAAAGGGCTGGGAATATCACTCAGTGTGAAGCCTCCAGGTTCAACCTCAGATTTGCAAAAGAATAAAAATAAAATAAAGAAGAAACACCCTATTACCATCACAACATTTGAAAAAAACTGACAAACTTTAGCACCCACTCATGATAAAAATTAGGAGTTAACAGAAGACTTTCTCAACCTGATAAAGGATAAATACCAAAAAAGCACTGTATACTGAAAACATTCAACATCAACAATCATTACAGTAAAGTAAATCAAATCTGTAATAAGATACCACTTAACATACATTAGAATGGCTATTAGCAAACAAAAAATAAATGGAAGAATAAACATTAGAAATATGCCTTGCTGATGGGAACAATAGTACTGCTGTATGGAAGTCTTTCAGAAAGTTAAATATAATGTAACTGTTATGGCTTGTGTTTAGATGTCCCCCGAGTGCCTCATCCAGATGAAGTGGAGCTTTCTTTTCCAGAAGTGGCTGAATCTGCAATGTGTGACACTGGGATTAAGGGCCTGTGGTTATTAAACCACTGCACGTGAATGATTGTTTGGCATCGCCCCGATCCTGGTAGTCCAGATGGGATGAAAGGGGCAGAAATACGCTGTTAAGGCTACTTGCTGCTTTTGTTACCATGTGGATGCCATGAACTGTTTCTCCTTGGGAAGGCCCATCTGCTATGCCACCTTTCCTTAAGAGCTATGGACTGAAACCTCTACAAATTGTAAGCTAAATAAACCTTTCCCCCCTCTAACTTTGGGTGTCAAGTATTTTGTCTCAGCAATGAAAGAAAAAGTAACTAATACAGTGATCAAATACTCCAAAAATTCCACTTCTGAAAATACACATAAAATAACTGAAAACGGGAATCCAAACATATTTATATACTAATGTTTGCAGCAGCATTTTTCACAATAGTCAAAAGATAGAACAATCCAAAACAACCATTGATGGGTACATAAAATGTGTTTTATACATAATAAAAGAATATTATTCAGCCTCAAAAAGAAAGAAATTCTGATATATGCTATAATATGGAGATAATTTGCTAATAAAATAAGCCAGACACAAAAGGACACATATCGTATGCATCCACTTACATAAGGTAAGTCAAAGTCAGAGACAGGAACTAGGAGGTGGAGGAAAGGACTAGGAGGTGAAGGAGGGTAAAACTGGGGGCATTGTTTGATGGATATATTAATATTTTCAGTGAAATCTGAACTCTTAAAAGATTCTACCAGTGACAGAGAAAACTGTCAGAGTCTCTTCCTGCCCTTGTGCACAAGACCAGGCAATGTCTACTTGCTGTCCATTGGACTAAGGAGTCCGAATTCCCAGTATCCTATAAAGCTCATTGTCCCTATTAATTAGATAAATTCATAAAAATTCTAATGTAAATGCTCTGGAGAGGTAAACTATTAATTCAATGGTACCCTTCAAATTTGGCAAGATCTTTCTAACAGTTTAGATTCAAGCAGTTCAGAAATATTGTAGTTTAGACATTT